TCAGGCATATAGGGGCACCCATCTAGGAGCTAAATTCATTTAAAACTACATTTTCATGACAAAAATGAATGCGTCACAATTGAATAAATAAGGATTTTCCTACTTGTACCCCATTAACTTCAATATAATTCACACATGTACCATTGGGATATTTCAGGATTGGCCTTCAATCATAAATCAATTAGGTTTTGACCAGTAAGAAAGTATTCAATTTCAGCAATTCTAAATATATAGAGAAAATGCACACCCTATACATCGAAAACCAGATCTGGCGGGAGATGTTATATCATTATTGACCTTGTTGTAAGTCAGTTGCTACTGATATGGTCAAAACTCCGCCCACCATGATAAACCTTTACTACTAATGATCTCAGAAGTTTAATTACACATTGCATTTACTTTTTTCAATATGGATTTTATTCATTAAGTACATAAAATAATATATTTTGTTTTTTGATTCTTACAAAAAGTAAGTTATGCATGTGTACACAAAATGATCAGTTGGTCAGTTTAGGGGATCCTTATGGGGGATTTTTAGAATTGTAATTGTATACAAGGACAATATGGTGTTTTACACAAAGTAGATTTTGTTCAATTTTGCAGTTTGAAAATGAAATATTTAATTTGTATTTTCTTTTAAAAAGAATTCACATCTAAACATTCTCCCCAAGAAATTCCAGTACATTAATTGTTATACAATTACATTTGTTTAATTTCTGTACATTTATATTTTGATTCCCTCTATATCTCCAAATTGTTACTTTGTTTTTTTCTCCTGGCAGCTCCATAAATGAAATGTATTTTTATTTGGAATTCATTATCTTCATTTTTCCATTAATTCCTAATCCACCTCTTTTTCGTAACTGTTATTTGTATTGCTGGTCAGTGGTCATAAAGCTATCAAATGATTCTATTGATTAACCACAAAGTACTGCCCACATGTTCTTATCTTGTATCAGTCAGACACGTGTTTTTGTTTATATAACTAATTATCATCAAAACTCATTAACAGTTCAAGATATGTAAATGAATTTTTCTTCTGTGGTTTTGGAATATTAAGAAGTAACAAAAACAGCTGAAAATGAAATTTTGATAAAATTTAGTTGCTTTTGTATTGTGCTACCTTAAGGAGGTGGGACATCGTAATTAAGGCTCCAACTTGTCTATTTCAGCAATTAGTCTCGGAAGTAACAATAACAAGAAATGATTGTAACAGGATGCTGTTACGAAGTCTCCCAAACGAAGCTCCCATAATTCGTAATTCCCAGGGTCGCCTGACATTGGGCAACGTCCAGTGAAAATTGGTTTGGTCCAGTAAAGTTATATGCATTAGTGATGCCTGGGGACTAACCTTGTATATCATTCAAATCATCTTGGCATGACAAACCAGAATATATATGGTTTAGGGGTGGGGATCTCAACTATTTACAAGATATTAGAACATTGGGGGTGGGGGAACCCCTACGGAATGACCGTATACGTCATTCAAATGTTCAAGACATGACAAATAGGAATATATATGGTTTAGGGGTGGGGATCTCAACCATTTACAAGATATTAGAACTTTCTCAAATGGCAGGGGGTCGGGATGACCCCTGGGGACTAACCCTGTTTATCATTCAAACCATCTTCCCATGACAAACCAGAATATATATGGTTTAAGGGTGGGGATCTTGATCACTCAGAAGATATTAGAACTTTCTTAAATGGCAGGGGGTGGGGGTGACCCCTGGGGACTAACCCTGTATTTCATTTGATGTGCTTTATCATGACAAACCAGAATATATATGGTTTAGGGGTGGGGAATTCAACCATTTACAAGATATTAGAACTTGGCAGGGGGTCGGGATGACCCCTGGGGACTAACCCTGTATATCATTCAAACCATCTTAGCATGACAAACCAGAATATATATGGTTTAGGGGTGGGGATCTTGACCACTTACAAGATATTAGAACTTTCTTAAATGGCAGGGGGTGGGTTTGACCCCTGGGGACTAACCCTGTATTTCATTTGATGTGCTTTATCATGACAAACCAGAATATATATGGTTTAGGGGTGGGGATCTCGACCATTTACAAGATATTAGAACTTTCTCAAATGGCAGGGGGTAGGGATGACCCCTGGGGACTAACCCTGTATATCATTCAAACCATCTTAGCATTACAAACCAGAATATATATGGTTTAGGGGTGGGGATCTTGACCACTTACAAGATATTAGAACTTTTTTAAGTGGCAGGGGGTGGGGGTGACCCCTGGGGACTAACCCTGTATTTCATTTGATGTGCTTTATCATGACAAACCAGAAAATATATGGTTTAGGGGTGGGGATCTCGACCATTTACAAGATATTAAAACTTTCTCAAATGGCAGGGGGTCAGGATGACCCCTGGGGACTTATCCTGTATATCATTCAAACCATCTTAGCATGACAAACCAGAATATATATGGTTTAGGGGTGGGGATCTTGACCACTTAGAAGATATTAGAACTTTCTTAAATGGCAGGGGGTGGGGGTGACCCCTGGGGACTAACCCTGTATTTCATTTGATGTGCTTTATCATGACAAACCAGAATATATATGGTTTAGGGGTGGGGATCTCGACCATTTACAAGATATTAGAACTTTCTCAAATGGCAGGGGGTCGGGATGACCCCTGGGGACTAATCCTGTATATCATTCAAACCATCTTAGCATAACAAACCAAAATATATATGGTTTAGGGGTGGGGATCTTGACCATTTACAAGATATTAGAACTTTCTTAAATGGCAGGGGGTTGGGGTGATCCCTGGGGACTAACCCTGTATTTCATTTAATGGGCTTTATCATTTAGAACATTTTCAATTTAAAAGATTGTGTCTATCACAAACGGTTTTCAATTTATAATCATTTGAAAATTTTAAAAAATAAAATCCCATAGGGTTCTATAGTAAAACCCTCTTTTCTTTTTGCCCCTCAAAGTACCCCTTTATAAACCCCATTGCACAAACAAAACCCTGATTGCACCACTAGACATGTTAGTCTAACATATTGTGAAACCCTAAGTTAATCTGACAAGCGGTTTTGGAGAACGGGTGCGGACAAGTTCAAATTTAAAAGCGGCGGAAGAAGAAGAAGAAGAAGAAGAAGAAGAAGAAGAAGAAGAATAATAATAATAATAAGAACTGAGCAAAAACAATAAGTCTTCCCAAACTTCGTTTGGGCGACTTAATTATTTCTTATTATTTCTTATTGTTACTTTTTGCGGGTATTCATAGCCAGTGCCTTATTATAATGATGAACAACAATGCCCCTTTCAGTAATTTGGTAAAAATGGTTTCAGTGAATGAAAAATATCATTTATTATACCAAGGAGATGTTCTGTATTGTAACCAGAGATTTGAACTGTACACGTATATACCTAACCAAATTATTTTCATTTACCTGTGTTTAAAGTAATTGCAAATGGCTAATATTTTTGTTCAAGAATATTGTTTTTCTTAAATTGTTTAACATTTCACATCGGTATAACATGTTACTTTTATAATTCTTCCCTTAGTTTATTTATTTTGTATTTGCATTGTATCATAGATCAAATTTATTTGTTCAGTGTATGTTCACTGGTGTTAATATGTCTTTTGATTGAGTTAAGCCATTTCAATTGATATTTTATAGTGATGTTACACTAATGTTTCAGATAAAGGTGAAGGTTTGGTACCATTAAATCGTTTAAACCTGCTGTAATTGTTTGCACCTGTCCTAAGTCAGGAATCTGATGTTCAGTAGTTGTCGTTTGTTGATGGGGTTCATAATTGTTTCTCGTTTTTTATATAGATTAGACCGTTGGTTTTCCCGTTTGAATGGTTTTACACTAGTAATTTTTGGGGGCCTTTTTAGCTTGCTGTTCGGTGTGAGCCAAGGCTCTGTGTTGAAGACCGTACTTTGCCCTATAATGGTTTACTTTTATAAATTTTGACTTGGATGGAGAGTTGTCTCATTGGCACTCATACCACATCTTCTTATATCTACATATATAGTATCAGTTGTAATAGATGTGGGATGAACGTCAATAATCTCATCATAGATACCAGACTTAAAATGTTGTACGCCAGCCGCGCGTTTCGTCTTCAAAAGAATCACCAATGTCTCGCGAATAAAAAACATTAAAAAGACCAAATAAAGTACTATGAGACCGCAAATTCAATCACATATGATCTGTATTAAAAAGGAACTTCAAAGACACATTTTTGGAGAATATCCTGTTTTTCAATCTTTAAATAACATGTGCAACAACTCTTTAGAATTATTAGTATGTCATCTGTTATACTCATACCTTGCCCACCCTACTTCTTGTTTTTCAGTGACATTTGACAAATTTCAAGTAAAACAAATTTTCAAATTCTACCAGTTCAGTAATTGTTAACTTATTTGTTTTGTTCTGAATAGGCTGAACATTATGAGATGGTAAGATTTTATTATTATAGGGATACATCATCATCTTAATTTCATATGATTTCTTACTGCAATAGATGTTATATTCAACGAGAACTATTGAAATAAACCGAAAATTCATATGAAAGTGAAAATTGCGTTCACCGGATTCACCGTCACACATCTTCAGCTGGTAACTGGAGGTTCCTGTAGCCACTTCTACATAAGAGTATAGCATCCTTTTGAATTCTCTGCACTTCTCTGGTTTAGCTTCATACTTTATCAGGGGCAGATTCAGTGATATAATTATAATATATGCCGATGAAGGAGGGGGGGGGGGGGGGGGCATACACCATCTACACCCCCCTTGTTTATTGATGAGTCTTGACATGTTATGTGACATAAACGGAATCAGGATCAAAGACAGGTCGGACCAATTTAAAGACAACTCATGTCAGTTTTAAAGACAACAAAGATCAATTTTGAACTCTGGTTGGTGTATTCAGTTTAAAAGAAAATTCAGACCAATTTTATATAACATGTTAAAGACAGCTTGTACCACTCTTTTAAAAGACAACTCTTAGGCAATCCTGTAGAAATTTATTTGTGAGATTCGATGGATTTAACAAGACAATGTAAACAAAAAGGTTGTTGTGTGTTTGAGAAAGAATACCCTCCAGAGCTTTTAAGTTTTTATGTTTTTTTTTTTTTTGTTGATGTTTTTTGTGGTCATTTTTTTCACTGTCTATTTTAGTAAATTAATGAGTACTGTTTGAGATCTTCTACTCTTTAAAATATGGTATATCTAAAGACAGTACAGGGTAATTTAATGTTTTTCCTTTATTTAGACTGGTTTAATGAGCTTCTGTCATTTTCATTTCGACTCTTTGCAGTACATAAACTAGCAGTAGACAGATCATTACTCAAAACTCCCGTTATCTTCTGTTATCCTATGTTATGTTGTGTTTAAAAAAAAAATTCTGAGCTTTATATCAGTAGCATTATTGCAGAAAATGTCCTATCGTTGAAAAATTTCATTGGACAAGAGCTTATCTATTGTCATCAGAAATATCATTGTAATCTAACACTGCACTGATGATTTAACAAGATATGAACTTCATCAATTTCAGACATAAAATTAATTACAAGTATCAAAATATTTCAAAGCTTCATTTTTAACAACCTCAAGCAGAAAAAATACACCTTTAGCTTTTTAGTAAATCATGAAACTAAAGAAACATAAAACATGTCAATATTCAGTCAGGCTGATTCTATGAACAAGGTATCACATTAATTTGCATCGATGATAGTCTCATTACAACTTTTAAGCTGATCATAATGTGAATCTGAACACCATCCCTTTTCAAACAAAGCTTGTACTTCCTCCAGTTTCTTTCCTTTAGTTTCTGGTAGTGCAGCATAAATAATTATAAAACCAATTATCACGATGCCAACAAACAACCAATATGTTCCTGAAATATACATGAAATTTCAATCAAAGCATTATATCAAAATGTTTGAGTATAGCTTTTAACCAGTAGAGGTGTTTAGAAGTTATTCACTATTTGGGGGGGGACATTTTCAAGGCATTTCAAGAACTTTTGTTATTCTGATAATTACTATATAACTTAAGAAGGCCTTTTTTATCTCTCTTATAATTAATTCTGTTATCCCCTCACAACAAAGGTGCGAAGAGGTGTCATAATGTGACTGTTCTTCCCACTTGTGCACACTGAAGAGCTTGTGTTTCTCAACCCGGAAGATCTTCACCACACTTGATGTTCAAACCTCTTTATAAAGTAATAATGGTTTAATAAGTGTTTGGTATGAATAAAACATGTAAACAAGAGTGCAAACACTGAAATATCTCGCCTGCTTTATTGACCATTGATTTTATGTTGATAGTCCTAAATATAAAGCTTTACTACAAGTATCACATAAACTTAACATGATCCAAGAAAAAGAGGTCAAGGTCAGATAAACCAAACCGGAAATACATGTAAGCCTTACAATCATTCCATACACCAAATATAGTTGACCTATTGCCTATTTCTAAGAAACAAACTTAACCATGAAAACTTAACATTGACGAATGAACCATGGAAATGAGGTCAAGGTCATATGAACCATGCCAGACAGACATGTACACTTTACAATCAATCTATGCATTAAATATAGTTGACCTATTGCTTATAGTATCAAAGAAACGAACTTAACCATGAAAACTTAACATTGACCAATGAACCATGAAAATGAGGTCAAGGTCAGATGATACCTGCCTGACAGATATGTACACCTTACAATCATTCCATACACCAAATATGGTTGACTTATTGCTTATAGTTCAAGAAAAACAGACCAAAACACAAAAACTTAACACTGAGCAATGAACCGTGAAAATGAGGTCGAGGTCACATGACACCTGCCAGTTGGACATGTACACCTTACAATCATTAAAAACACCAAATATTGTAGACCTATTGCTTATAGTATCTGATATATGGACTTGACCACAAAAACTTAACCTTGTTCACTGAACCATGAGATGAGGTTGAGGTCAGATGAAAACTGTCTGACAGGTATGAGGACCTTGCAAGGTACACACATACTAAATATAGTTATCCTATAAGAGAGAAATTAAAATTACAAAAAATCTTAACTTTTTTTTCAAGTAGTCACTGAACCATGAAAATGAGGTCAAGGACAATGGACATATGACAGACAGAAACTTCATAACATATGGCATCTATATACCAAGTATGACACATCTAGGTCTTCTACCTTCTAAAATATAAAGCTTTTAAGTAGTTAGTTAACGCCGCCACCACCGCCGGATCACTATCGCTATGTCGAGCTTTCTGCGACAGAAGTTGCAGGCTCGACAAAAATGGTTAAACATTTTTACCAAGCCATGGTATTTTAAACCCCCTACCATGGAAAAGTGATCCCCTATAGGCCTCAGATTTCAAATTGTCATTAGCTATTCAAACCACTTTATATAGTAATGATGCTTTTATAAGTATTTGGTATAAATAAAACATGTAAGAAAAGATGCATAAACATTTTTACCTTGACATGCATGGTATTTTGAATCCCCTTTCAAGGAAAATTGAACCATTACCCAACTTATTTACAGTTTACTTTAAACAATTGATTGAAGCAAATACAGGGTGTTGCAGATTCAATATTCCATGGGAGTGATTCAAATTCAACCCCTGGTCAAATTTCCATATGGCATTTTCACCCAGGGTTACATTTGAGGGGGTTCAAAATACCATATGACACAGTTGTGTAGCATTTATTTTTTCAGAGTAGCAATCATTCAAATTGATGATGATGATGATGATGATGATGATGATGATGATGATGATGATGATGATGATGATGATGATGATGATGATGATGGATGGCTACTTAACGTCCCGCGTCAAATTAATATGCATATTTAGGACGAGAACATGTTAATGTTTTATGAATATTTACCTTGCTTTGTACTAGACCGAGATACTGAGCCGTATTTTTAATGTGCTAGTTCACAAGGTGACAGTCCGCATGGAAGACATGTCACCTTACCCGGCCACATTATTCTGACTCAGGGTCGACCAGCCTTTGCTCTTACTCCTTAATGCTGCCTGCTTTAGCGGAGAAGCAGCAAATAATAATTTTAAAGTCTTTGGTTTGACAACACACATTAATTTGACTTTCACATGTCACGCTTACAAAAAATTGGCCAATCCCGCTTCACACTTAGACCCCAATGAGACCCACTTCATGAAAATAAGGAGGGAACTCACAATTTTGGCAAGTAGACTATGTAGATCTTGTCTTGCTGATCATTTTTGTTTGCTTATTTACGTTTCTATTTATCTATTATAGTTTTTCAGATATTAGGCAAAAACTCAAAAAAATGGTAATAAAATGCTCCGCAGGGTGCAGCTTGATACGACCGCAGAGGTCGAAACCCTGAACAGTTGGGGCAAGTATGGACACAACATTCAAGCTTGATACAGCTTTCCATTTGGATTGTGATTAAATATTTGATACAGCATAGGTTTCTGACACAGAATGAATGTGGTCTAAGAACTTAAAAATTTTAAATTGGACATTCACCTATTATGGTCCAATATCCAAAATCTAAATACATGGTTAGATTCCGCATATCAAAGAACCCCAAGAATTCAATTTTTGATGAAATCAAACAAAGTTTAATTTTGGACCCTTTTGACCTCAATGTGGACAAAGTTGATAACGGGACCCAAAAATCAAAAATCAAAATACATGGTTAGATTCAGCATATCAAAGAACCCCATATATTCAATTTTTGTTGAAATCAAACAAAGTTTAATTTTGGACCACGATTTGGACCAACTTGAAAACTGGGCCCATAATCAAAAATCTAAATACATCTTTAGATTCAGCATATCAAAGAACCCTAAGAATTCAATTTTTGTTAAAATCAAACTAAGTTTAATTTTGGACCCTTTGGACCTTAATGTAGACCAATTTGAAAACGAAACCAAAAATTAAGAATCTAAATTCACCGTTCGATTCGGCATATCAAAGAACCCCAATAATTCATTTTTTGATGAAATCAAACAAATTTTAATTTTGGACCCTTTGGACCTCAATGTGGGCCAATTTAAAAACGGGGCCCAAAATCCCAAAACTAAATACATGGTTAGATTCAGCATATTAAAGAACCCCAAGAATTCAAGAATAAAACCCCATTGAAATTGGTCAAGAAATAAGCAATTTATACGAAGTATCTTCTTTTGCACAATACTGTGCAATTAAATATTTCTTGCTATTGCGCAATACTGTACAATTGACAATTTCTTGCTATTGCGCAATATTGTGCTATTGGATATTTCTTGCTATTGCGCAATACTGTGCAATTGAAGATTTCTTGCTATTGCGCAATACTGTACGTGCAATTGAAGATTTCTTGCTATTGTGCAATACTGTGCAATTGAAAATTTCTTGCTATTGCACAATACTTATTATATAATAATTTACACATCCTGTTTTGTGTGTATCTCCTACCATATCATTATTATTTGCTTTTAAGTATAAATCAGAAATAACCAACTTAAAATGGAAAATTTTAAAAGAAAAAAAAAAGGAAAACCCCCCCCCCCTTAATTTTTTGAACCCCCTTATAATTCATCACCCCCAAACTCAATCCCAGCCTTCCCTTTGTGGTATGGTACCTTGCAGTACAATTTCAGAGAGATCCATACACTTGAACACAAGTTATTGCCTGGAAACTAGAAAAATGTGTTTTTTGGCCCCTTTTTGGCCCCAAATTCCTAAACGTTTATGGCAATTACCCCCAAACTCAAACCCAGCTTTCCCTTTGTGATATGGAACCTTGTAGTACAATTTCAGAAAGATCCATACACTTACACACAAGTTATTGTCCTGAAACTAGAAAAATGCTTGTTTTTTGCCCCTTTTTTGCCCCTAATTCCTAAAATATTGAGGCAAATACCCCCATCATCAATCCCAGTCTTCCCTTTATGGTATGGTACCTTGCAGTACAATTTCAGAGAGATCCATACACTTGAACACAAGTTATTGTCTGGAAACTAGAAAAATGCTTATTATTGGCCCCTTTTTGGCCCCCAATTCCTAAACGTTTTGGCAATTATCCCCATCATCAATCCCAGCCTTCCCTTTATGGTATGGTACCTTGCAGTACAATTTCAGAGAGATCCATACACTTGAACACAAGTTATTGTCTGGAAACTAGGAAAATGCTTGTTTTTTGCCCCTTTTTTGGTCCCTAATTCCTAAAATTTTGAGGCAATTACCCCCAAAATCAATCCCAGCATTCCTTTTGTGATATGGAACCTTGTGGTACAATGTCAGAGAGATCCATACACTAACACACAAATTATGTCTGGAAGTTACAAAAATGCTTATTTTTGGCCCCTAATTCCTTTACTGGTGGTACCATAACCCCCAAAATCAATCCCAACCTTCCTTTTGTGGTATTGAACCTTGTGGTAAAATTTCATAGAGATCCATTCACTTAAACTAAAGTTAGAGTGCGAAAACCAATGTGTCTTCGGACGACGCCGGACGACGACGATGCCAACATCATACCAATATACGACCACAAAAACCATCATTAAACTAAAAGGGAAACAACTCCAATAAGGGGTCATCAGACCATTTCAACTATGTTGACTCATTTGTGATCTTGTCTTGCAGATCATTTTTCCTGATTTAAGTTTCTATCTATCTATTATATTTTTTTCAGAAATTAGGCAAAAACACAAATAATTAATAAAAATCATCATTAAAGGGAAATAACTTCAATAAGGAGTCAGCTGACGATTTCTATCATGTTGAAATATTTTTTTGTCAGCTGAGCTAAAAATGGTGTCACAGAACTTCTTGCTACCAGTAAAAACATTTCTTCATTAAAATTTTACTATAAGAGTTATATTTCCCCTTAGCTGGCTAA